ATTCAAATTTATCTTGTTATAATTTGTGAAGTCAGGACTATTTTCTGATCCAGATGGAAGCTAGAAGGGATTACAAAAGACTATTGAAATCAAGCTTTTGTATCTCAACAAGGCACAAAAACATCTGTTCTTTGTTGGCCAAGACAGTTAATAAACATTATTATTAGGTAAGCATCCTATTGTGCCTGTCATCATACATGTCAATCTTTGCATAAAATAGGAGTCTAAACCTAACAGCAGGGAAAGAATTAATTTCTGAGAAGCGTGGGCCAAAATAACATTTATGCCTGTCAAATACCAACACACATCATTCTTTTACTCAAGCTTAAAGACAAAGCATCCAGCAAGCTTAAAATAATTTAGAAACATTTCATCTATATTGCCAGCATCTCACATTTTGTTCAGACAGAGCCTCTAGTTAAAAAAATAATATTCAAGGTTTTGCTGCATAAAGTTGAAGGGAAATTTATAGGACTAAAACTCTGCATATTCTGAAAGCCTCATCCTCAGCACATTATTTAACCTCAGAAGGTAAAGACATAAGTGAATATTCACAGATACCCTTGACTATCCTGGATCTGCAGAGGCTACAAGACCTTTGACTGTTTAACAAAGGAAGAGCACGGGCAATAAACCACCACAAAGGGTCTTTTGTGAGATTAGGATCACTCAACTCAATTCAGACTGAATGGCTACGACACAGGAAAGTACAGCAGAAAATTAGTTACTTTTCAGTGTAGAGCGCTATCAAAGCAGCTTTTACATTTATTTCAGATCTTCTGACACAGCAGCACGAATGAAGCTTAAAAGAGGCCCTCTATACAGTCGTTTGTCAGTCCAGGTGGCCTGGCCACGCAATGATTCTGCAACGTTTTTTTCTCTGACTGCTCCTTCCTTGTCCTTTAACATTTCAATTCACATTGGAGGCTCAATGACATAGCACTTGCCTACCATTGCTTCCCCAGTTTGCTTTTTTAGACCTTTGATTTTGGAAATTGTTAACTCATTTGAAATAGCACACTCCTGCTGTAGCATTTCGTTGACCAATTGGGGTCTGATCGCTCCAGACCTGGAAAAAATTTCAAAAACTGGGTCTCTTCACACCTGGTTCTGCTGGAGCTGGGTCACTATGAGTAGAGGAGGCAGATTCAGAGGGCAAAAAAACCCAAACGCTGCCTCTCTCTTTACAGGGTGCTGAGTACTGAGGTTTAGTAGCTCTTGTTTTAGCAAACTTTGATCTCTAACACTGCTTTAGACACTGCCAAGTATTTAAGGTACTTGAGGCCTGATATGGTCCTTCAGTGCTGAATCCTAAGGTCTAGTTATTTAGGGAAAATTCAGATAGTTTGAACACATCTTTAAGTTATCTCTTTAGCTTTTGTTTTATAGAAAATGAACCAAAGCCATGAAGGTGAAACTCAGACCTCCTTCCACTAGCAACTATGAGTCTAGAACACTGGAGTCATCACTTAGTCTTAGAGCAAAGAATACCTTCTTGCATAGAGTAATTTTGGGAACTTGTACACTCCTTTGGTCCCTTTTGTTGTGTGACATTAGATTCGTTTAAATGTCATTCATTTCAAATTTGAATCACCTCGCTCCTCCACAGATGAACCCTTTCATGCCTCTTCTTTGTATTCTCACTTGATGTCCATTTGCTCTCTCCGCATTTACTGCTTGTGTCAGTCCTGCCTTCACTTCATGCCGCTGAGGAAAGCAAAGCCCACATACCATGCAGACTGAAGCCACTTGACCAAATCTGTGCTAGTATTTCAGCAAGGGCAGTAGCCAGCAGAAAGAGTTTGAGGAGTCCTGAAAACTATGGACTTTTCCAGGACAGGACCTGCCATCACATTGAGATACCGCTGCTGGTGGCTGCTTCAGGGAGTAAAATATTTCCCTCTTCAAGTGCCCAAGGCCAGAAATATTTCTCTCCCTCCACCACACACTCTCTTTATAAGCAGTACTTGTTCTCCCTCTGCGGCAGGTTTTCATAGTCCCCCCCAATTCTCTTTCGTCTTGCACAGGTGTAAGAAAACGATCCTGGAGCAGCATCTATTTGGGGGAACAGAGCTGCCACAATGAAAGCAAACTGTCTTTTCCTGATTTTGTACTTAAAAGCTGATTTTAATATTGTCTTTTGCCTAAGAGACCCTTAAGATATACCATTACTGGAGAATGTTATTTCTACTCTGCTTCTCACACACTGTATTCTCTCTGCATACTTTTCCCTGGTCTTGCAAGGAAGAACTTCCCACAAGTTTTTCAATCATGAGCTTTTGCAAAAAGCTCATTAGGTCACTGCAGTCAGCTACAGTTAGAAATTTCATGACTCTCAGAGTACTTGAACAACACAGGCAGAGTTCTCATTTACAGAACAATCACCAGCAGCTGCAATACCTTCTAGCTGAGGGGGATGCTCCCATGGAGGACTCCTGTGCAGGCACAGTGTGTTGTGATGCCAGGATTCATACTGTCATTGACACCAGTCATGCTTAATGAACAGGGAAAACTGGACACAGAGATCTCACCAAGGATGAGATCAGGCTCATCAGTACCAACGTACTGATGGGGACGGACCCCACTGTCCCCAACACAGCAACTCTCCTTAAATATAACTTCATTTAACCTAATGGTAATGCTACACGTTTGATCAAGAAAGAAAGGAAAAAAACCAACACATAAAAATCACTCTGATCAGTATGGAATGTGGCTTTCGTATTCCACAACCCTAAGAGCTACTCCTCTCATCTGTCAAAAAATTAATCTAGACTTCTCAACACCCTTTATGAACAACAGAGGATGGTTCTTCCAGAGTCCAATTCCTTTAGTCTCAGGCAAGTCTACCAAGCAAGATGCATCAGTCTGTGGAGATAGTGTGTTTCCCACACAATATATGACCAGACCACTAGCTTTAGATGATACATCCAGCACTTTTGACTGCCAAAGTTAGCTGAACACCATGGCCTCACAGAGGATGCTGGGAATGTTGCAGTCCTGTTGCACGCAGTTTATAATCCCCTTCCCAATGAGGCAAAATAAAAATGAGCAATTTTGAGTGTTAAGAACCATGCTGGTTTTAGCTGTGATAAGAGCAAATTTTCTTTTTAGTAGCTAGAAAGAGACTATGTTTTGGATATGTGCTGAGAATAATGTGATAAGACACTGATGTTTTAGTTCTAACCCAGCAATGTTCACACTAAGCCAAAGAATTTTTCAGTTTCTTATACTGTCCCTGTCACACAGCCAGGACAGCTGATTCAAACTGGTCAAAGAGCCATAAGACATCATACTCTGTATATAAGCTGGGAGGAGTTGGCCAGGGGGGCAATTCCAGCTCAGGGACTGGCTGCACATTGGTTTGTGTTTGCATTACTTGTTTTTCTTGAGTTTGTTTTCTCTTTTTTTTTTTCTGTCTTCATTATAATTACAATTATAATTACTATTATTATTATTATTTTAAAATATTTCAATCATTAAACTGTTCTTATCTCAACTCACAAGTTTTCTTACCTTTTACTTTTGATTCTCTTCCCCATCCCACTGGAGGGGAGGGGGACTGGGTGGTTGCATGGTGCTTAGTTGCTGTCTGGGGCTAAACCACATGAAGAACCCAGAACCCAGTGAATATTTTCAAACCTGATTTGTTTACCTTGCTGTTCACAGGTAGGAATTAACAATAGGTGACAAAAGAAAAACTACTTTTTTAAGATCTGGAAGAGGTGGAGCAATGCAATACAGATGGAGGCACAGAAAATAATCTGAAAAACAGAATCTCTCTAAACATTTCTCTGCTATTTATAGTGTTGGATGGGTAATTCTATGTGTATAAAATAAAGGACAAAACTTAGGCCACACAAATGACATGGAGACTTCTCAAGTACTCCCTGAAACAGTGGAGTGAAAAATAATTTCCTTTTGAGATTTTTCTTATCCAAATATGTCCATCTTCTGGACAAGAATGACTCCTTAACAAGGACAGTAAGAGAGAGGGTATCAAAACAGGAAGTAATATAAAATAATCTTTAAATAAAAGTTTAATTCACTCTTACTTTACAGAATATTTAAAAGCACCGTATCATTTTACTGTTAGTTCTAAAAAAGACCAACAAGAGACTGGAATGATTTTCGATGGTAAAATATAGGAAACTTTGTGAACAAATGGATACAAACTAAGCGAAAGCACAGTAATATTTTGTACACCACAACTATAATCAGAATCTAGCATTGATTTATTCAAATTTTGCTTTCTTGGAAGCAAAGCTTACATGTTCATAAACATCAAAATAAATGTTCCTTAATTTAACAATTTGCCAAACAAATACTTTTTTTTTTTTTACCCTGTAGGGCATATGCAGAGGCATCTATTTGTGTTGTAGTTCTCCTGTCGCCCTGTGCTTCAATATTTTTTTAAACAATTGCTTCCTTTACAATTTTAATGATGCTTAAAAATTTCTTCCAATATTGTGCAAGTCCTAGGCAAGGCCATTTTGATGTGTGCCCTTCCTTACATGATTTTTTGATCAGTACTTAACTAATGCAACTGTGAAAAACTATACATTTTCAGGAAAATGTTTTGATTTTGGTCCTGTAGTTAAAGACCTTCTATAACTGAGTTGTTTACATGGATTTGAATCACAAGCATGTACACAACAAAACCACTATACCAATGTTTCTTGGCCTATGCATAAAAAGTATGTCTCCTACTTACACTAAAACATACAAAAAATAAACTACAAAAATTGTTTACACTTGATTTCAGCAAAAAAAGCTTTCTTCAAGAAAAATGATTCTTCTTTTTTCAGCCATCAAAAAAGGAATGCAAGTAAACAATAAATACATGTGCTTTCTCCATATAGACATATTTACACTTGAGTCTTTGGCTTATGTTTAAGTTTCTTTATAAAGATCTTTATGTGATCCAGCCATCATTGCACATTAAAACAAAATAAGCCAGGTTTTGTTTTTTTTACTATATATAATATATATACGCAACACTTGAAACTTATAAAGAATGAACCTTACTATCAATTTGCACTGTTATTGTACTTTACCAATGTATCAAAAGAAAAAAAAAAGAAAAAATTAATACCACATAGGAAATATTGATACATGCAACAGATGGTTGCTCTACTGTAATTGAGAGACAGCTGCATATACAAACACTGAAAAGTCCTAATTTGCGCAAATCTCTTCTGACTCTGTTTTTCATTAAATGGTATTGATGTGGCACTAAATGTTGATACTGTATACAAGCATAGAAACAGATTGAGTTCTTTTATTAAGATACACAACTTCATAAGAAAAATACTTTGCATTTAAAATTTAAAATCCCTCCCACCCCCCTCTTCCCTTAAAATCTTTCTTCACAGGATCAAGAACTGTTGTCAAAACAGCTTATTGAGATTCATGTATTTGGTGAACTTTGTCACATCCATTCAGACTAAGAGGATTCCAGGTACTCCAGCGCAACATCGTAGCAGAAACGATACTGCTCCTTTAAGGGGAAAGAAAGAAAGAAAGAAAGAAAGAAAGAACTTAAGTAAGAAAGAAAGAAAGAAAGAAAGAAAGAAAGAAAGAAAGAAAGAAAGAAAGAAAGAAAGAAAGAAAGAAAGAAAGAAAGAAAGAAAGAAAGAAAGAAAGAAAGAAAAAAAGAGTAGTAGTTAAATTATGATTCTGAAGTCTTAGTAGCAATAGCTACAAACAAGAATAGTCTTTGCTAACTACTATACAGTTTTAACTTCAGGCCTGACATGCTTGAGTTTTCTTTTAAAAAAAAAAAATTCCTATTACATAAGTATATTACAGCTCTGATTTAAAAACTCACCCTAACCAACAACTGCAAAAAAAACTTAATCTTGGAATGCAATGATTTGCTTCTCTGATTTTTTCAGCTTCTGAACTGGTTTATCAAACGTGAAAAGTTCTCCTATCAGTCAGAGCACTCTTGCAGTGAAAGCACCTCAACTCTGATATACCATTTATGTTTAACTTAGCTGATACTGAGCAGTTAAGCAGTGCTTGCTGCGCTGGACAGCCAGGGAATGGCTAGGGAATACTGAGCTGTAACACAAAGCTGCTCTGGGCCTGCAGCCCGTTTGTACAGTTGTGTTGATATAAAGTCCAAGAGATCTGATGCACACTTAAAAAGAGTAGTTAAGTCTCAAGATTTCATTGTGGTTAGCATTCCTTTTTAACAAGGCAGCTGTTCAGAGCCCGTACTGGGGGAGAGGAGGGAGGAAGGAGAGAAGAGATGGCAATAAGGAGAAGAAAATATGAGGAAATGAATTCAATCTCTATTGTCCTTGCAACCTAACAAAACAAATCTGCTTTTGTGATTTATGTTTGTTTGCAAAGGAAGCTGGTGTGATCCATTAGCAGGAAGTGGTGGGGATATCTTAAAGGCTTTATTGCACTGCTCATTTTTGTTATCTGATCGTGTTGCTGAATGCAGGGCACATGACAGTGTTATACATTGCTTTTCCTGGTTTGTTTTCTAACTAACAACTTAACAGCTACTGCTGTTCAAGAGTTCTGAATAAAAACCCACACAACAGAAACACGTAACTATGGAAATTCAGTAACTGCAGATAAAAACAACAATGGAATTCAGGACTATTTTGAAATGAAATATAAGTTTACAGACTATTTATCAGAAACGCACACAATCTACCTTAGCTTCCCTTTACAGTGACACAAGTAATTTTCCATGTGGTCTGACCTGTTTTTTTCACAGCAGTGAACTGAAATCCAGGCAGCAATTCAATATGTTGTGTCTCAGACATCTATGGCACTGCAGACTGCAAAGTATTTGCTGCAAAACCAGCAATACCTAGCCCAACATCACTCTTGCTACAGGATGCTATATCTGTTAGCATTTTAACCATCTTCTTAATTTATGTGCTGGCAAAGGATGGAAGTGATGTACAATAATTAAGCAAATCATGCCACCAGAGCTACTTGATACTAAGCAAACACTGACACCTGGAAAAAAGGGCAATATGGGAAGAGGCAGCTACAGCCATTTTGCTCAATATGCAAGTTCACAAGGTCAAAAGCAATTTTCCCTATGCATAAACTGCAAAATGTTTTTAATTTCAATTGGCATCCCTGATTTTTATGCTGTAGACAGCCATCTGGCTGAAAAATGACACTGGCTGCTGGCAGTGTGAGAGTCAAATGGCAGAAACTCCCAAACACTGTCTAGCTGCTTTCACATTCACCTACAGGAAGGAAAAACATCCACTTGAGAACATTTTTTTAAAGACTTCCAACAATGTTCAGTTTTCATGACTGAAGGGATCGCATGGATGGATATGCACTCATACCATACACATAAAGATGGACCAGAAGAGTGAAGCTTATTTTAAGTTCTGGCAATGTACATACAAATATTTAGTCTTGTGATTTTGCTAATTCAGGCCCATATAGTTTATATTATTTTATTGTTTATATTGTTCATTATTTAGGTTAACTGTTGGACTCAATGATTTTAAGGTTTTTTCCCAACCTAAATGATTCTATGATTCTATATATTCATTTGCAACATACTAGATCAAAGTCTTTGATTTTAAAGCTCTTAGATATCACTTTGACTACTACATATCTGAGTAACAAACACTATCATTATTTGATACAGCTTTCAAAGCAGCAATTGTTATTAAGAAGCAAAATGCTCACATCTTCAGCTACTAATCTGGACTTCACAGTTTACTCCTACGAAGAAGAAACGTCTTGCTCCATGAAATTTCAAGGCTGTTTGTGTGAGCACGACCCGCTGCAACTTCTCTTCAAGTAGACCAGGTTATTTTGGGAGATTAAAGTGCATTCTGTTAACTCAGACTGTTTTCCGTGAAAAGCACAGTACTACTACAAGAAAAGTAGTGTAAAATGTTTAGCCTGGCCTCTCACGATACTGACTTATCTGTACACTCAAGAAGCATATTTCTTCTTGCAGCCCAAGGGATATAGCTCTGTTTCATAGGCACAGGACTGAGAACATGGCTCACACAACAGGAGAGCCTCTGGCTCCCCGGTTGTTTGCCGTAACCCTGATGGGCTGGTACTTACCGGAGTTTCTACCATGTTGGGCTTACTGTTCCGCAAAGTCTTCACAGCGTGGAAAACGTCCACCACGTTCTGCCTTTTTACCATTTCAACCACAATGCCGATGGCACAGAACATCCCGCTACGGCCACCGCCATTTCTGGACACAAGGAAAAGAGCTGGTTAAATGTCACTATGGCATGAGAATCCCGAACACATTTCTATTCTTTCACTCTTTAAGCACGAGTGATTCATGAGTCTACAGGGAGACCAGGCTTTAGCAATCTTCTTGAAGCTCCAGTGGGTTTGGCCCAAGACATTTGCTGTTTCTGACCTTCCTTTCAATTACTTCTTTTGAAATCTGCCCTTACAGCCCACCATGCAGCCCAGCTATGCTATAGCCTAATTTACATAGGCATTAGAAATAAAAAACTAAGTTCAATGGCAAGTACAACATTTTCCCTTTAGTTCTGGAAAAAGACTCACTTACATTATCCTACTGTACAAGGGTTATCTAGCCAGAGTAATGCCAACGCATCACTGATTCGATACCTTGTTGACCTTTGGGGATACTCCTGAACTATTTTAATCTTCATTTCAAATAAATTAAGGTAGGTACTTCTTCTTATTAAGTTTAGATTAGCCAGAAGAATCCAGGGATAATGAGGAGGGGTGGGCAGAAAAAGGCCACAAGTTAATTCTGAAGACTTAAACTGAAGCCTTTTTTTAAAGTAAGAAGAAACGCATAATTCAATTTCTCAGTTTCAAACTTTATATTTAAATAAGGTAAGAGAGAAACTGCTCATTCTCTGCTTAAGGAGAAAAAGCTGCTGCCTTTTCAAAGCCCCCAGACCAGCTCCCATTTAAATATCAGGCTCAGATAAGCAGTCAGTGGTCATTTACCAACAATAGTTTTAGGATCACATACTGTATTATACAACTTTTCTCTGATTCCATATACTCATAGCTCTCAGACTAAAACCCTCAAAATATAGTAGGCCTTCTGGAAAAAATGCAACCCACTATATACAAGGGATACACAAAAAATAACCATTTGGCACTCAGCATAAAAGCCTTTCTTACTGAAACAGTACAGAAGAAATCGATCTGTACACACTTTGTACCTGAAAAAGACGCTATTATGTACAGCAGGAGACGAGACACAATATCACTGTAGTATTATGTCCAAAATACTCATTCCCATGGTACCTTGACCTGACACAGACAAATCTGGAAGTTGACCAAAAGCCAACCTACAGTACCAGTGGTTTTGTCTTATTATTTTTTTAATAAAAGAAACAGATGCATGTGCAAAAGAATGTATCCATAAGAATACTGCTTGAGCTTAAAACAAGAACTAATTTATAAGCAGTAATTTGACTTTCTCTCAATTACTCACAGGCAATGGATGATGGTCCGGCCCTCCCCTTCTTCACATTCCTCTTGCCATTTTTCAACCTGAAGAATTAACTTCAAGAAGGATCTCTTGGAAGCTGGTACATCTCTGTGAGAAGCCCATCCCAAATACTGGAATTGCTGCACCATCAGATAGCCCTCTTGTGGCTGAGGAAAACCAAAGAGCTTTAGGTCAATATGGCATCTTTACATCCTGGTTTAGAAAACTAAAATATAAAACTAACATGAAGCCTAAGTGTATGGTAGGGTCTCCATTAATTCGTAACACTTGAGCTCAAGAAACATGTCAAAAAATGAAGAAAAGGGAAGTACATTGAAGACATCACAGTTTACCAAACCATAGTTTACCAATCACTAATGAAACCTAGCCTTACTTCTTCTAAATGGACAAATTCCCTAGATTCTACATGTCAAGGGTTTTTATCCTTAACATTAATAATCAATTAAAAACATCACTGTTAAATTCTTAGACCTACAGAAATGAAGAGATATACCTTTGGCTCCCATGCATGAACTGCCCTCATTATAAATAAACAGCAAGTAATATTGATGCACAATTATGACTATTTTCCTTGAAGTCTTCCCTTTTTGCTAGACTATTATAATCATGAGAGCCTTGTTGCCAGTCACTGAGCTTTCCATATGCTAGATGCTACACAGGCTGAGCTTTGAATACAGTTGGACTGTCACAAGAAAGGCCTCAATAATTGGAAGAATAAATAGTCTATTCAGTTTCTTGGAGCTGAAGAAGGCAAAAAGGAGTAGGAATGTGAGTTTTAGAAAAGGAAGAACAGAGCAGAGAGATATTTAGAATCAAGATGTAAAGATGAAAAGACATGGGAGACAAAAAGAAGTACAGGAGTAGAAAATCAAAACAACATAAAAAAGAAGAAATGGAAAAAGTGAAAATAAGACATGAACTAAAAAAAAAAAAAGAGGAAGTCTCAAAATACAACAAAAAACCACTACAGTGTAATATTTGCCAGTGTGCCTATACCTTAGCTTCCTGTAGTTTCCAAACAAGGTATGAAGAGCTGAAAATGTTTTTCTTAGCTCTGAATATAAGCAGAATAAAAGTTTGAATAAAATACTGGCCATGCAAAAATTGAATTCTGCATGCTAAAAAGTGAAAATGTGATCAAATTAAAAAAAAAAAAAGCTTTGTATACACAGTGACCAGTTTTCCCCATAGCTATTCTTCAACATTAATGAATGAAAGTAAAACATATACTCAAGTAACAATTGGTGGCATGTAGGTTCAGTATTGGATGAAAGATATGAAGTGGTAATGATAAGTAAAACAGGGATTGCTGGTTCATTGTACATATAATGGTGGCCCAGGAATCTGTAAATCTTTACATGTAGGCAACATAAATAAGTGATTTATAGAGGAGAGCTAAAGGAGGAGACACCATGTTGCAAACAGGATTTGAGAAGATGTAGTGATAGTGCAAAATACTACAGGACAGCAAAAAGATAAGATGGTGCAAGGTGTGAAAGAGTCAACAAGAATGCAAGACTAGCACTGCTACTGAAGTTGAGAAAAAGATGATAAATGTAGGTCAAGGCACAGTGGTGCAAAACCCTTCAGAGGCAGAGGAGCTCTCAGAGTTTTTTCACACCCCACTTTGCAGGGTGCCACAATCTTCCTTTTATGTTGTGGTTCTTGCATCTCTGGCTGAGAAGATGCTGGTTGCATAACCAGCCTCCACTCTCCTGTTTCTGATTCACCATAGGAAACATCTTACAGAAGCTATGAATTAAGTATCTGTCACTACATGTTCATTAAAGGGATATTACAAACAGGATACTTCTCATACATCTTCTACTCATCAGGAGAATGCTACAGAACAATAGCCATTCACTTACTGCTCTCTCTGCTTGGTGTGTAGCTATATAAAAGTACTAGAAATTAGTATTGACGCTTGACGGACTCTTTTCTGGGTAATGTCTTAAGAACATTACTATTTTACTAGTATTCAAAATTGAAAACCACAAGAGTCTAGACAGCATTAAAAATGACATATTTTTCCATTACACATTCTTATGAGAATGCTTACTCTTGTTAGATTGCATATCCTGAAAATTCGGTTTATGACATCGCAGTCCATTGAACACGACATGCATTCCACTTGGATGGGACCGTAGCGCAGTATCCCTTCCTCAGGCCAGTATTGCGGGCAGCCCTGCACCAGAGCAAAACGGGCATAATTAAGTGGTAAGTTAGAACTTGAGCATTGCCTTATTCCACTGCAAACATCTTGTCTAGCCTTTACTGAGAAACTAGAGTTAACTAGTTGCTGTAAAGCAGAGGATAACTGTAATGGCACTGCACTGCTCTACATTTTGATCATGTAGTGGATCCAGAGCGATTAAAGCATGTATGGTACATGGAAAACTCGAGCCCCAAACTAACCTGTGCTAAGTCGACTTCATTTAACATCACAAGAGAAGTACAGCCGTAGTCATACACTAATCTCCAGAAATCTTTCACAGTGTTTGGTAAAGGATGTTGTGTGACAATAAAAGCTGCTGGCTGCCTGTAGCTCTGTAAAGGCAAATTATTTTATTAGCACCGGTAGAGGAAGTACTAAATAACTTCCACTCAGACACTGCAACAGAAAAAAACATATAAATAGAACAAAGTTGTGACATCAGTTGCACCAGATTTCACCAAAGCTGCTGTTAAAAATACATTATTGTCTCCAGTAAGAACAAAGAGGTTACTCTGCTCAGGTCTGCCTTCTGCTTTGTTACGGGCCAAGCCCCGTTTCAGTTCAGATATGCCTGGGGCACTGAAGATGCTCTTCAGGGCTCTGCAGAGCTGAGGTTCAGGCAACTCCACTCCAGGTGCTGTGTCTAGGAGACCAAGCAGGAAACCTTCTCACTGTGTTCCAGAGAGGGGTGCGGAGGTCTCAGGTTACCCCACCCACAGCAGGTTACATGAGCTCTGTGACTGAACTGGGGACTAAGCTCAACCCCAAATTCTGTTTCGGTGCCACAGGCAGGGGGTCACCAACAGAACTGACCTTCAGGATTACAAGGGCCCATTTCCAGCAGAAAGCAGAAGTTAAACAGCAATATACTATTTCCTGTTATGACAGCAGATTCCATTTTCTGTATGCTGCATTATACACAACTGCAAATAGGGATTTCCAGCCTGCATAGCTTAGCTGAGATGTAACTCACTGTAGAGGGGCTAAGTCCCTGCAGCACATGTATTACCAGCAGCAAGTAGAAGAGGAGAGAGTAGAAGTTTCCTGCAGGCAATTTGCAACGATGCACGGAAGAGTTCTACAGTGAAGGAATATAGATATGAACTGGCAAGGAAGCACCAACAGGTTAACCTGAGAAACAGAGTAAGATGATGACTGTTCTTGTAGGTGGATAGGATTGTAAGTCACTAGTTTGAAGGTGAAGTGCTGGGACTGCTTTAAGCAGTGCAGAAATCCCCATGTTTAATACTCGTACTGGTATCAAAAGCAGTTTGGCTGGTGTTTTACTGAATTAAGTATAGTAAATTAACCTAGGAGAAAGACCTGGCAGGCTAGCTAAAACCACTTCAGATATGGAAGCCTGCTTGTTTGTAGATTGGTATGAGGGATCTTCATGTCCAATCTATCAACATACTCTTGAAGAGCACAGTGTGATGTCCAGAAGGAAAAAAAATACAATTCTTTTCACCCATATACTTGCTATAATATCTTTACCATCATTATTTGTTAGACAACAGAATAAGGAGGCTGACATTTTTTTAATCTATGTTTGCTATTGTGCTGGTTTTCAGCTGGGGATAGAATTTATTTTTCTTTATAGTAGCCAGGGATAGAGTTAATTTTCTTCATAGCAACTAGCATGAAGGAAAATTAACTCTATCACAGGCTACTACAAAGGAAAAGAAACTCTATCTCAGCTAAGCTTTGGATTTGTGCTGAGACAATGTTTTAGCTGGGGAGAGTTAGCTAGGGGGAGTGATTGCTGCTCGGGGACTGGGTGGATGTTGGTTGGCAGGTGGTGAGCAGTTGCGTCGCTCATTTTTTTCCTCTCAGTTCCATTCTCTCTTGGTATTTTGTTGTCTTTATTATCACTACAATTTATTATTGTTATTACTATTATAATAATTTTATTTTTAATTTTATTTCAATCGTATTTCACACCTTCTTGTGCGAATGCAGGGACAAGTAAATTGTGGAAAGGAGAAAGTTTCCATTTCTGTTTTGCTATCAAAAGTCCCCTTTCCTTGCCCAGCAGTGGGGTCCCCTCCTCTCTGAATAAATCAGTCTTAGACAAAACAGAAGAGAAAGGGCAAGAGAAAGCTTTTATTACCCAGAGTTTTAACCCTGTACTTGTAGCCTTGTTACATGCCTTCATTGTAATAAATTACTTTTATTCCCTGCTTTTATCCTTTTATTACCACCATTTCTGTCTTTCCTTACATGCCTCTGACTGCTCATCCATTAATACATTGCTTGGCTTCTGTCCCTGCCTGCCACACACTGTTACATACTCAGAGTCCTGCCTCCACCCAGCCATGCAGCCTGCGATGCCTTCCTTTCTCCCCCAACCACACTCCTCTGTGCAGCTGTGTTAGTTGGTCCACAGCACATCAATTTTATCCAGGTGCTTAATGTAATTTTAACAGCAATTCTAAACAATTCTGGTTGCTACCAAAATTCTGCTCACTGCTTTAATTCATCAATTCAGCCCCAGCACCTCCCTAACAGATTGGTCTCACACATGCTACCCGTCTATTTTTCAGGCACAATAGCTTATTGTGAGATTAGGGACTGCATTCAGCTAGCAGTTCAAATGTTTCCTGCACCAGCTGAGGTAGAACTCTGGGATGAATATACCACTCAGTCCTGACAATTTCTGCTGTTATTTGTCAATTTATTAGAGTATCTCTTCTTGACACCGCAGTTTCTGATAGCATTTCATTTTTGAGGAAAGGAAGATGCTCCTGGAAATCAGGACAGTCGTTTAAGTAATTACTGTAAAGGTGGCTTTAGGGGCTTAACTTCGGAAATGCTAATGGCAGGCACAGGCAGGTATCAGACAGCACATGTGATGAACTGCTTTATCGATCAGACACCTATAAGCAGGTTCACCTCCATTTTCCCCATTAATTCATCTTTTCCCCTGACAATACTTGTGTCACTCAAAACTCAGCTTTAAAGAGCTGCAACTCAAAATATGAACAACAAAAATGCCAGCCCTACTCCCAAGCATGACAAATAAAGATTTTTTTTCCCCTCTTCCCCTGTCTCTCCTGCCTCAATATACATGGCCTTTTTTATAAAATAGCGATAGTAACCTCATGCTCAGGTAGGTAATATTTACTTCCTGACAAACAGTAGATTTTTGAGATCCTGCTGAGATTTGAAGGGATGGAGAGCAGGCCTTCATATAATGCTGTTGAAAAGGGGAGATTTCCAGTGAGTCCCCCACGGATGCAAAGCACTGAAGAAAACGAACCTTCAGAACAAGCAATGCAAGCTGGTGGGGTTTCTCACCCATTCCCTCCCCCCTATCCCCTTCTTCGTTAGGACTGTTTTACTGCACGCTACAGGAAGAATTACCTTTTCTTAAACCAGCAAGTGCTCTCTCTCCTATTACACAGCTTTCCACGGCACGCTATGCAGACAAAGAAGGTAGTCACTTACGTCCATAAGAGCAGCATTGATGTAGTTGCTACTCTCCCCATCAATAGTAATTAAGAAAGGCAGACATCTGTCAGGTGGCAGCATATCCATGAAGCGGTTCTTGTCGTGGTTCCTTGGCAAGCAGGCTATGCTGCAGTCCTCCGCCTGCAGGCGAGGGGTAACAGAATTCAGGGTCTAAGAGAGAGAGGACACTTGCTTTAGCACACTGAACTAACAGGCAGTGGACTTGAGATTATTCAAGTTTTATTTTAATATATTACAATATGGGAAAATGTGAGGCATTAGCAAGAAGACTTGGGGAAAGAGGATGCTTGCTTTAGCAAATATGAGCTCTTAACTGTTTGATGGACGTGCTGGGGCTTTTCAAGCACCCCCTCTGAAAGAAATAAAACAAAAAAGATCTTTTGGAGCCCTAAAGAGCTATGACTTAGCTGTGCAAATGCAAGCCAAAACTCTCTATGGTTCCTAGTCATTGCTCTCTATGCCAGACAGATACTCACTGCAGTTTTATTCAAAGGAAGATATTCCATATTTAAAACAATTCTGCAAAGCACATAAAGCACTCATGGTTATTTTGTGGACTAAAAGTAAGGGATCAAATGCTATAAAATTATATGAAAACCCTTCCCCTTAAAATAAATTAAATGTACCTAGAAGCAAAAAAATCATTGTCACATGAAGAGTTAGTAGGAACTGTGAATACCTGAAACTCATCTTTGAGATGTGAAGAGTTTGTCTGAGAGTCTATTCTAATCATATCAAAATAAGCAGCTTTGAATTCGCAGACAGGAATGGCAGTTTCTCCACACAGGCAAGCTTCTAGAATGGCATCATGAATAAAGATGTACTGCTCCTACCAAATTTGGCAAAGAAACAAAAATTATAGCCATTTAAATAAAACCCAAACAACAGATCTTTCCTGCTTTTAGAATAAACAGATCTCTTGCACACTGTAAAAGTCATTCAAGGTCGTGTCCATCAGTCCGCTTTAGCACAAACACAATCTTGTCCTAATTGGGATGCAGTTAACAAGGATGTTTTCTTCAGAACCAATTTAAATTCAGTAAAACTTAATAGAACAGGCATAGCAATTTATTAACAGGAGGTTTTCCGTTTTCTTGTGGTAGTTGTGGGTTTCTGTGTATATGCCAGTGACTCGTTGGCTTTACTCATTTTGGGTTTTTTTAAAATAGCTTTCAGTCTTATAATACTAGCAGAAAGTGTAAATTATTTCAAGCGCTACTAGTGTGATTAGCAAGTATTTGACATGCTGTGTTCCCCTTAAGTATGTGCAAGCTAGTACACCAATTGTCTGACAGTCGGCTCTAGGCCAGTAATAAATTCTAATGTGTCCCAACAGAAATAGCATTTCTTCCCATTTTTTTCCTCTGACTTGCCTTGAAATATCCTGAGCCCTAAGGAACTGCATTGCTATTTCAAACAGGTCTCTTGTCAATTTTTTACAGAAAGCCTTTTATATTTACTCACCATAACAGATTTAAATCATGTCTATGCAGCAAAGTGCAAGAACTGTGCCACCTAGCTACTATGGATACTGATCAGGTTATTAAAAGCACAGACTTTAACAGGTGTCTGTAACAAAAGCACATGTCCAGGGACCATGGTCGTATTCTGGCACTAAAGCCTGTGCTGCCTTACCCACAGCTATGTAGCTATTGCCATCACTGTTGTCCAGATGACCATCACAAGAACTTGCTGCAATTACAGCTTTATTTTGCTGTGTAAGTATGAACCTCTGAGGGAAGATGAAAAGTAAGAGGTGAAAGGGAGAGAAAGGAATTGTTAGGGCTGCTAATTCACATGCAAGAGCAGATTGAACTGGGGTGGTTGAAGCAGTCACACTGAAACACTCCACCCACGCAACTCCGAAAGGTTAATGGCCCTGTAGCAGGGCTGGTTGATTTGGAACATTGTCACAGGTTGCAGCATGGAATAAAAACCATACCAAATTATATTGATATGTCTGGCTGTGAACTGCAGAGATTTGCAAGTCATCACAGGTGAAATAACTTCTCAGGTAGATGTCCACATGGAGGACAGGAGAGAGAAGTTGCAAACCGCTTCAGGTAACCTGTCCTAGTATAAACCAATAACCTACGTTTCTGTAGAAGCTCAGTGATACTCAGATGACAGAATGGGAGCTGTTATAGCTTCATCACTAAGGCAATGGTTTTACTGTGGAGTTGCTGAAGGCATGTCAAAAGACAAAAAGGGTAGAAAAGGAAAAAGACTTTGTAATGAGAGTGAAAGGGACATAAAGTTCCACAGCTAAGTCAAATTGCTGATTAAGTGATTGGAAATAGTTTAAAACCAGTGGCAACATGCTGAAATTCTGACTTTGGGTTCCTAGAATTGTTGATACCAGACACATGCCGGACAGACCTACTATAGTGTCTTTCCTAAAAAAATTCTCCTTGCTTTCCTTTTTTTGTGAAGTTAGGCCCTTGCTGATTTGAAGACTGAAAGAGGTTGCAGGTTTGTTGCACCATCCTGATTCTGGGTGCTGTTTACATTGAGCAATGCTCCCCAGTGTAGATAACCCCACAGCAGGGCCACTGCCTGTGCTTTTCAGAGTAACAGTGAAATTCTGACCTAGCACATTTCAGAAAGCATCAGGTGCTCTGAAGGCAAATTGCCATACCTCTGTCTGTACCATGTTGATGCGACGGGACCGTAAGGCTTTGACACAGTTGTAGATATCCACAACACCTTCTCTTTCTGCCATATCTAACATGATATCAATCACAATATAACAACCTGTCCGTCCAGCACCAGCACTAAAAAAAAATCAGTAAATACTGTTAGGAATAGCCCCATAAGACACCTACAAACTTTATAAACGCGTTACGGAGAGCACTTTTATAAAGTCATTCAGTTCTTTCATCACAACCACTGTCTAATTTAATCTTCTCTCCTTCTCTTCATAATGTCCTTTAAATCTTTTGATGTGCTCTAAACAACCTTTTTCCATCACATTTGACCCACTAAGCAACAGCAAAAAACCCTCATTGTTTCCTTCTTTTATTACCCAGATTCATACTTAGAGTAAAAAAGAAAAGGTAGTTAATCTGAAATCTGGAGGATAATTAAGCTCATGCACTTCAAAATATGACAGACCTTGTTTTCATTTAATAAGACTAAGAATGAATTTTAAGTGATATATTACAATAAGAAACTCAAATATATGTTTTACCAGCCAAGCTCTGAGCTGGTTCAGGCAGAACATTTAACAGCATCCAGAAGAATCTATCTTGATTTATTTTGGTTTTATATAAAGTCTTGCACAGTTTTTGCACAGTGAATTCTTAAATCTGTAAAGGCTCAATAACTTTACCTACAGAATGTAATTAAACATTTGATGGTGCTGAAAGAAAACTGTTTGTCAAATTGTGTCCCAATAACACAAACCTTGCACAGGAAAAACAGCATTCTGTATTTGTTGCCATTAACCTCATTCCATCTTCCTTCATCTACTTGTGTACTTTGATTTAAATTAATAATCTGTTATTATATGCAACAGCAAGCTATCAAAGCAGCTGCATCTACACTTATTCTCAAATTCTGTCACAAAATTGTTGTAGGCTACCTAAAATGATAGCCTGAAGTAGCATATGATTTAACTTGTGCAGCTCTTGAGGGAAAAAGAAAATATCTGGCTATTCTATTTAGGAAAAGTATACAAGAATCCAGTTATTTCCAAACATTGCTGTAGACAGCCAAATCCTACCACAGTGTGAATTAGGCAATTCAAAAAGGGGACAACAAAAACAAATCACTTCAAAAAGATGCTGCTCTTCAAAGAGACTGCTGTAAATAATCACACAGTTGTGGAAAAAATCCATCTACCTCTTCTGTACACACCTGCAATGGACAACAATAGGCCCTGCACTAGGAGGGTTGGATATTTTGACTCTCCGTATAAAGGAAAGCAGGCCTGTGGCATTGTAAGGAACTCCATGATCTGGCCAGCCAGTGAAATGAAACTGTTTAACTTCACGGATTTCATTGTAGCCCCTCTGTAAAAGGAAAAAAAAGTTCATGAAATTCAAGATATTAAATAGACTAGATATTCTGACTCAGATAATGATACACACAGATAGAATCTACACACTGTTTTCATCACTTCACCAATTATTTAAAGCAAAGACCATACAAAGCTCAAAGATGTCATTGTTTTTTTCATTTTGAAGTTTGCAATTTTTACTTTTGCCAATAAGTATGCCAGTTTTGCCTCATTACATTTTTTTTAATAGACTTTAATGGAATTTGCATTGATTTTCAGTTTTACTAATTAAGACAGACAATGACCTCCTACATTTACAGGCAAAGATAATGATTTACCAGAAGACCACAAGTGTATCACATACATGGCATTCACAGAATCTGTTCTTTGAAAGAGATTGACTGAGCGGCACCCAGGGCAGGGTGAGCAGAGATGAATGACAGGTGTGACTCACAGCCCTGTACAGGAGCTCAGCTCAGAACTGTGGCTACAGAGAAGAGGTGACTGTCAGAGACGGGAGGGCAGCAGTAAGCTTTTCTGGGGAAATTCATAATCGCATGGTGAGACACGTGTTTGGATAGTGCTGATGCAATACATCGCTCCCACAGTGAGGTAAGGCTGACTACACTGTGGACCTGCTCACCAGACAGGGGGATTTGGTATTGTACAGCTGCACGTGCAAGCTTAGCCTCCCCCATACTCCTTGCTACGAGGGAAGAGTATTTTGCTGAGCCCTTCCAAAATGTGCTCACCCTTCCCAGAGTGAAGGTTCTGACGACGTACTCCGCAAGGGGCTCCATCTCTACACAAGTCACTTTGAAGTCCCCATAAACTTCTGTGTCGTCAGGCCAGTACTTGTAACACTTGACCTAAATACAAAATGGGAATGCATTTTACACCAAAGGAAAATAAAACCTTGAGGATATGTTACTGCATGTACCGCATTACACCACATTTATTTCCAAAATGACCATGAACTCCTGTAGTTTATCACGGCTAATGGCTGCTCTGTCAAGTTAAGCACTAGCTACAAGGCGTTTCCACTGCTTTATACAGCTGTATTTAGATGCCAAATTCATTTCTAAATGAGCACTTATATTTTTTTTAGTGCTGAGCTATGGAATACATTTCCACTTATGTTAAACTGAGATGCATTTCATATCAGTAATCAAACTGTTGCAAGTAATCTCAGATACTTTATATTACTCCCTGAGGGATGTGTTACTGCTAAACTGTAAATAATTTGCTGATTTCTACCCACTGATATAGAAGCACATTTGCTCACTAGTCCACTTACTCTGCTCACTTGAGTGAAAATACACAAAACTATTTTGCTGAAATATGAATCTTGGATTCAGACTTAAGAAAGCAGCACAGCATCAGTCTTCTTCAGAAGTTAACTTTTGTTTTACACAATACCACAACCACAACAATGTCTGGATTCTCCCCCTGTCCCCTCCTCTTGGGATGCAGGGTTGTCCTTCACAAGACTCTTCTACAGTCTGCCAATAGTGTGTCTTGTCAGCAGTTTTTTCTTTAGGCTTGTAGCATTAAAAAAAAAAAACCAAACAACTAAACCAAACCAAATAAAAACTTACTCTCCCAACTTCCACTAAATTTGTGACCATCACAACGCAAGCTGATTGCTCCTGCCATATCATTCTCCAAAAGTCATACACAGTCTCATGAACTGGACCTGTAAGAAAAAAATTCCGGGTAATACCGCGCAATAACAGTCAAAGCGAACGCTAAAAATAAAATGAGGTGCTTTTCAGAGCTGACATACATTAACACACTTGCTCAAAGATGAAAGCTTTGTGAAAACCATCGTGCCAGTTTCCAGACTGCATTGTTATTTCTAACCAATGCAGAACCTTCTCAGTTTAACTGAATTACCACTTGAAAGAAATTAATAGCAGGTGTTTCATGTAGCGAAATGACAGAAGTTGCTTGAAAACTACAAGGACACAGCAACATGTCCAACTATAGACTACATCTATAGATACATTTCTAAGTTTGGTTTATATTTGTTATGTGTAATGTGTTGAGTGTGAGCTTCTTCAGATGTTCACTGAGGAGATGCCTGCACTGCAGTGATGCATCAGTCGGGAGAGCCGATGGGACAAATCCTGCATACTTACCATTCAGCTCTTGGCAAAGTGCGCAAGCACGAGTAGGCACTTAGCCATAAGCTTCCCACTGAAGGGTATTTAAACTCACTTAACTACTTTTCTGTGAAGCTAATGAGGAGCCTATTTAAGCTTTACCTCCTGCTCTGCTGCAGAGACAAGACACATTCAGTTGAGTGGCAGAGGCTTTTACCCTGTTACAATTGTCTCAGAAACAGCTCCCTGACCACAGTCCAGCAGTAGCATAAATATTACTGTATATAACAAACATCTGAAGACCCAACCATATTCCTTCATATGCTAGATTGAAGGCTGCATACAAAAGCAGCAATAAACCTCTGTGTCCTTTACACACTATTATGTGCAATGATTTACACAGTAAAACAGAAATAAAATACAAATTTAGACTTAACTGCCATAGAGAGACCTGTTTATAGACAGCACTTAGCCAAAACTAAACAAAGAATGTGGACAGAAACTTGAGCATTCTGCTTTAAAAGAAGCCTTTAGTTTGTCTTTCCTGTGGGCAGCTACAATCAACAGAGGGCACAAATAACAGGGTATTTCCAGCCAGCTATCTGTTTATACTCACAGATCAAATAATGATACATCTAAATCTAATTATTTTTACTTTAATTCATAGCCTCTGATATTTCAGTGCAATCTTACATTAATCTATTTGGTTGTCCTCATTGTGAGGAGTTTTATCAGAAATACAAAATGAATAATTTCCATAGAAATTCAATTTTTTCCTCTAACTCCCATTTTTATTATCAGGGTGTTATACAATAAAGACTTCCTTCACTTCTTCCTACAAAAAGGCTTTACTTTACCCAGATTTTCTGAGATAGCATTTAATTTATCATTACTATCTTCACCATCTGCATCCTGGACTAAATCCTAGACACTAAAATAATACATTGTAGTATGGAAAGAAGAATGCCTTCAGGCTAGTTGAAATTGTTCTCTTTTCTGTCCACATGACACTTTCCTCTATTCATCTTCATAACTGGAAATCAAGGTAGTAGCTTCTGACTTTATCAGCTGAATTTATCACTGAAAGAGTTGCTCAATAGCTAATTAACATGATAAATTAGTGCAATTTTTGCATTTATTCACATTCCACCTGAACATGCTATGTTAATATACTATAACACAAGATGACAACTCACAATATTGGATATGCTGTATTTTCATCTACTTTCATTTTACCAAAACACTGCTGGACACCACAGAGAACACTTGTTTGGTTTGATTAATGCTGACAGATTCTTACCTTGGGTTGCAATGTAGTGACTTGGTCTCTGATATCCCTAAAACAGCAATATAGGTTGGTTTGAGTACCACATTACTAACAGAAATGGGAAAATAAAACCAAAGGGGTCCTACAGAATTCTTATCTCTACACAACATTTTCAGAACAAACCAATACTTAAGAGCAGCATGAAACTTAAAACCTAACAAAACAGTTAATACTGAAAAGGTTCGAATGACAACAGATAAAATGGAAATAAGAACATCTGACTTCAACAGACATTGTAGTATATTGAGGAGGAGTATACTAGATGGGTCCCTTTGGCTTAAAAATTAGCCCTCTACTGATATTATCTCACCAGCTGAAAATATTGGGGCATTTAGGTAGAATTTAGTAAAAATTTAGTACCATCAGCTTATCTCAATAGTTGATCTGTGTTCCCAAATAATCCAATACAAAAAAATACACACCTATTTTCTTCTATACAATAGAGAAATACTGTAGGGCACAGAGAGGTATGTACCCGAGACATAACTAATGGGGACAGACATTTCCCATGCTAGAGCTGGACACTGTGATGTGTATACAAAGTTCTACTGCTATCAAATATTTGGAAAAATATTTTGTGCTACTGCACAAAGTATGCATCAATTATACTGGATATGATACGCACAAGTATATGCACATACATATATCTATCTATATATATAGATAGGTAGATAACCCTACATGACTAAGCCTTTCCAGTTAGCTGGGTCTATGCCAGTGCTAGCGGTACCGCCCAGCATTAATAGTCTACATAAAAATTACAAAACAAAGAGATTCTGCTCTTGAGGAAATAGTTGAGAATATTTTTTGACCAGTGCCAGCAACATTAGCCACAAAGAGGAAGGAAAATTTAGTGTTACTGGAGAAGACAACACAGAATTTCACAATGTGCAAATGTTAAAGAAATAACTCAAATTATTTTCTAGGTTACAGTTTTATTAGGCCACTCGATTCAAGTATTGCAGGGGAGCACAAGTCCTTGGATTCCTGCTATTCAGAAGATGCTACTAAACTGAAGGATTTCAATGTACCAAAGGAGTTTATATCCTTTTTCACAGACTGCTTCATTAACCTATCTAGAGTGAGAGCACTTTCCTCTGGGGCTTATGAAAAAACTTCTGAATATCTTACTCCTAGCTTTACGAGAGACCAAGACTGCATCAAATGACTAAAACATTTCTCCCTTAATATAAAGTCCCAGCTTCAACTTATGGAAGTGGAACCTGTGCTACACTTTTCTACACTCAGTAATGCTTTCCAAAAGAGGGTAAAAGTGTCACTTTAAAATTGCAAAATGCCAGTTTTAACTTGTAGATTTCCTGTCTAGTTATAACAACATACTATTTACTCCTACATAAGAGAAATAACATCCTCAAGGAACTGGAACTATTACAAATCTGGGAGAGTTTTCTTGTTTAAGGCCCAGATTGCTGTGTAAAAATACCAAAACAAAGATACAGCGATATACATGTAGCTAAATCTGTATATCCTGGAAAGTCAAGAGAGTCTTAAATAATTTAACAACCAACAGTGGACAGGAAAAATGAGTAAGGTGCAATTATAAAGGGAAGTAACTAAAGCCATGTATTTTAAAAACATTGGTACTAGCTATTCCAGTATCTTTTGAATTACTTTGAATATAGCAACTTCTTGATTCCTAAGGTGTTAATTGAATAAAAGTTATATTTTGCTAATCAAAACACCTGGCAGAACTTGTTCAAATTTCCTACTTGTATAATTTTTTTAAAAAATTATAATTTAATTTGTATTTTAATCAAAGCATGGAATTTCAAACTTTAGAAGTTTTCTGCAGAAGTGAGGAAATTTCTATGATGTTAAAATATATATATATGTACATATATATATGTTTGTGTATATACTTTGTAAAACTCAAATTAGTATCTTAAGACAACCGTCAGCTAAATATTGTCTAAATTGTTGTTAAAAGAAACCCTCTTCTCCCGCAAGCCCATCATCCCTCTTTTTTTGCCAAACATATATTATGACTACTTCACAGGCACATTTTCAGACAATTACAATACAATATACTATCCAGCTTCTCGCACATAAATGGGAAGGGAAAAAGAAAAGCTAGTGGCCAAAATCATTATCATTTAAAAGAAAAACTGAACAGCACGTTCTTTTTAACAGACAGGTTCACCTAAGTTATCTAACAATATCTAACAATATTCAGAGCTATGTTAAAAGGCTAAATTATCTTTTCAAAACAAGTACAAAAATTATTCACACAAAAGGAAATTTTTTAAGGGAATAGATGAGACAAATTAGATGAGGCATGCATAGTTATATAGTGATAAAAATAGAATAGGAAAGTAATTAATAACAATATCTATATTAAATATTTACAATAGGATGCTGTTATTCACATATAGTGGTACTTACATCCCTGTACAGCCAAATCTACAGCCCAAACCAAAGTCAGATGTGAAAGAAAGCACAACAATGTCAGTGAGTACTAGGACGTAGAACAAGGAAAGTGTACATTTTGTTCTTAATAAAAGAAAGCTTTCAATAAATTTGTAGGCATAACATGCAATAGTTTCACATAGAGAAGCTGGCAAATTGAGAGGGAGAAAGCTGTGCAATCCACTCACATCTATGTAGTTGGCATTAATGTAATCTGAAGATGGATCATCTTCAACAGGTTGCAAAATCACCCTGGAGTGGTCATCTGTAAAAACCAAGTGGTTACGGTGCCTTTTTGAAGTTTGATATTTAAGTAAGATATTAAGGTAAATTGTCTAGAAAACCAAAACCAGCTGGCATAAGCACTTCACAATTTACAACCCTTAAATAGTAAGTGTTTATGCTGAATTACAAAGAACCATTTAGTCTGAAGTCTCCAATTACTTCAAAAACATTCACTAATCCTCTTTAAGTGTAGCTGAAAGGTATCACACCATTATGCATGGTTAAAAAGACACAGAGAAACCAGGTTGCTTGCTCAAAGTCCCTTTAAAAATCCGCTCCACTGATGGTAATCTAGAAAACCAAAAATCCTGTTTACTGTTTCTTTACTTCCGATCCCAGCCTGCTTAAGCTCATATTAAGACATTAAAAAAGTAAGCAATTGTTAGCAATGCACTTTGGATCTGATGAAAAGGTAACTCTACCCATTCAGAGACATCTCCAATAGCTTCATTCCTGCATGTTCGATTGCATTTGTAAAACAGCAACAAATTGTGTTATCCCAGGGATGAATCTAAACTATTGAAACTTTAAGCTTAAAGACAAGAAACACAACCCTCTGATTTTAGTCACGTCTTTTAATTATCAGTTTTACACCACTGCTAGTCAGGTGTATTAGCTATAAATCACATAAAGTTTTGAAGCTGTCAGATTTAGCTGAAATAAATTGCAACTGTAGAAAACTGCCACAGAATTAACATCCAAATGAGTGCTAGCTTGTTGCTCTTATATGCTTACCACAGCCTGTACAACAGAGATGCAAAGGCGAAATTCAGCCTGAGTTATAAAAGGAAGAAAGTTGAACTGTGAAGGACAGAAGAAAATAAATGCTGGAAAAGGCACTGTCCTCCTTCTCCGTTTGTGGTATTAAGCAGCTACGCCATCGGACACTTGTAAAGAAAGAGAGAACTTGGCACGAGTAACACACGACTACAGCTACCGCTCAGACCAAGCACACTGATACTCACATGCTATAATGTTTCCATAGCGGTTCTTTGTTCTGTTTTGATCCTTCTTAGCGACATCCCAAGAAGCTGACTGCCCCTCAAAGAAACTCTATAAATAAAAATGTTCCGAAAGAAAACATTCTGACCATTAATTTATCTCCAAAAATAACAGTTTAAAAGAACTTCCCTACCATAAAGAAAGGTCAGCTTTGCTTGTCCGCTCTGGTCACCCAGATGGCACCATGGTACAGAAAAGTATCTGGAGAAGAAGGGAAGCTCTCTCCCTCGACCGCTACGGGTCAATGGGCAAGTCACTGAGGGATTCTAGAGGGACTTCGAATCCTGGAATTGCTGGAAGGCTAAACTTGCTCAGACATCTTTGCTATGGAAAAACAACAGTAAGCTGAGAAAGCACAGGGAAATCGATTACCCTTTTAAGAGGGTGTCTTACAAGACACCATAACATATAGCCTGTGTACTACAGCATTACATTGCTTTCCTCATATCGCTTAGCAATATGACTTTTCTTCCTACACAGCCTTCACGAAGCCTCCTCTGCCAATGTTTATTTTTCATGTTGATTTTACTCACATCCTTTCCTCTATCCACTAGTAAAATTATTCTACCTATTTGAACTCTTCTTAAGACTCTGATCTCTCAGTAAGTGATAGAAGCAGCTTTTATTCCTCCTTGGTTTTTTTCTTCATTGCCCATAGATATTTTACAGCTGTTGCAGGTCTATGCTATTCTTTCCTTCCAGATGTTCCCTTATCCTGACCTGGGCAAGTTATCTCCAGAAAGTACACAGTAGCCATGGAAACAAAACTTTAATACACATTCAGAAGCCCAAGTCAGGGCAAAGATGTTGTGTATGGTAATAGAAGAAGGAGCAAGTAGGAAAACACCTGATATGGCATCAGGGACCACCCTCCCCCCCAGCAGTGGTTGACACTTGGGCTTAACCCTGAAGTTAGGCAGAGCATAACGAAGCGTATTTAAGGAAAAGAGAGGAAAAGAGAATAAAATTCTTTTAAAAACCACACATTTATTTATTCCAGTTCTTATGTTACAGTAGAGACAGCTGCAGAAAGGAGAGAAGGTTGAAAACTGAGTCAGAAGAGATTACTTAGAGAAAACTCATTTTAAACCTAGCTGTATTGCGTGCAACCTTGGCAGTACCATTCCCATCCCTACTCTGTGTCCTGCCTGATATTCTAATCCCTAAGAATCACAAAAGATTCAGAGATTAGAAGAGAAATTAATCTGTACTCATCTTCTATCTCCAGTGCTGAGAAATATTTTGCTTCCATTTTAATATTAAAGTTGCAAATAGACATGCTCAGGCAGATCTAATTAGAACTTCAAGACATAATACCCTCAGCATGCTTTTACTGCTTCTCAGCTGGAGTTTAGTCTCAGTATTGCCCTACTGAGATGCTATAATAAATCACAAGAGTGCTTCCAGTCAGTGCTTCTTGCAAAACCAGTCAGGTTAAATCTTTACCTTAACCTCATTCAGGAGATCTGCACTAAAGATGGCTAGGAAAACTCACATAACTAATTACAGCATTTCAACTAAGATGCAGCAACAAAAAGGCAGCAATTTCTTACAATACGTTGAAAAGATTCAGCAGGGCATGTCTTCTTATGCCTTAGAGAATACAGAGAGTGTTTTTTCCAGGCACTTATAATGGCTCAGACCATTGGATTCCACTCAGTATTTCACTTTCAGGCTACATATATAGGAATCTTATGCTGGTTTATCTTTATCTGCTTTTCACTTAAACCATTGACATTTAGTTGCATCCTTTTGCAATGCAATGCAAACAAAGGGCTGCAACTTTCAAAGGGATTTTTTCCTAGCAAAAACCCACCACTGAAGATCTCACCTCATACTCCTCTTTAAATCCATAGCTGTCAGAGGTCTTCATTAGGTTAATATGCTGCAGCAGATCAGCCACCCTGATAGCAGGGTGGAGCTGCCCAGTCTGGTACGGGGATTCTGTGCCTTCGCAGAGGTAACGAGGGACGTCCAGGAGACGGCTGGACTCTGCTGTCGCACTGTGATTTTCATCTGTATTCACAAGAAATCAATGTATTTGGTACTTGCATGGCAATAACACCTGCTGCTATACATATCAACATCTATTTTCCACCTCTTCCTTCAAAAACATGTTTAATTTCTGAGAACGCATAGCACTTACTCTCCAGCACATAAATACTGTGAAGTACATAAAGGAATTTAACAGCAAACACTTACAAAACTTTCCAATCCTTCATCCTGCAATAAAGATGTCTGAAGGGCATTTTATTTGAAGCTACAAAACTTTATGGCATTAATGTATTTGCGAACTCCAGCCTCTATCACCCAAAGTAACTTTTTAATGGCTAATATGTATCAACGGCAATACTACACTTTAAACAATAAATTACAATAACTCTGCAGTGGTATCAGCACATCATTTGTCTAAAGCCAAAAAACAGTAAATTGAGATCCCAGTAAAAAAGAGAAGCAATTATACTACCACTTCAGAACATCACCTCCATTTGGGAAGACAAATCAAGACTTCAGAGTGGTCATTTTAATTCAGGTTTTTTAGCAGAGAAATGAAACTGCTGAGTGTGCTGCTATCAGCCACGGTTTTTGCTCTGTATTAACAAAGAAGTTTGCTGTAATGCCTTATGCTATACCAATCCTCTTATCAAAGCCAAATGTCAAAGTTGCATGAAGTGATCACATTTAGTCAATCCCTTCTGTGAAATAGTTTGTCTACTTGTATGTTTGTTTGTTTTAAATTAGCAATCAGTAGTTCAAATTAATTTAGAGAGGAAGAAAAGTTCTAATTGAAACTTTCCTGGAAAGTAGTTACCGAAAGGAGAAATGGCTTACTGATGCCTCCTAAGCTTCTTTGAAATCAGTTTACCATTTTCCTTGCAAAGGATCCAGATTAGGAAGAAAAACATTCTAGGGAAAAAAATGAACACTCCAAGAGTTGGATTTTCTACAATTCCACCAAAACGCAAACTTCGTTTAACGCCTTCTGAAACAAGATCCAGTAAGAAACCTGATTCTGTCACACAAGTAGCTAATTTCAATACATTTATGCCTCACTGAACTGCCTAATAATGTGAGCGACATGCAACAGTCACTTTTTATTGTAGTGTTACCTGTATTAAATAATACACATTTCAATCCACCTCAGGATTTGCAGCTTTCCCCATTCCTCACAGTATACTCACCAGTAATAGGCACTTTAACCCATTGAAGCAGCAAAAAACAATGAGAACATAAGAAATTTATTTCAGGACTGTATTAGAAAATGACTAAAAGTAAATGACATTAAAGGGTGTTAAAGCTTCACAATAGGTAACAATGAAAGCTGTTTTAAAAATATAAGGGTCACATTATTATGCCATCAATGTAATGATAGGGACTTGGGAAAAGCAAAATTGTCATACTAACTTAGTGCTAATGTACACAGAATGAAGAATAGCATTAACAACCTATCCATGAAGAAAAAGAAACCTAGTACAGCTACAAAGTAATAAGAGCTTCATATAAAATAACATGTTCCATAATTTAGAACCCATAAAATTTTGTTCATCTCTAAAGAAAACAGAGAAAAACCATTTTGTGATGCTGGGCCAAGTAAGAGCTATAGGGAGATGGAGTAGCCCAACTGACCTAGTTCCAAAAGAACTAGCTTACAGGTACTCAACCCCTTCTACACAGTGTGCCCAAAAGTGTGTCTGCTTCTCTCCACTATTTCAGTCCATGCAATGCAAAATATTACCTCTTCCAACTAGCATTGCTTTGCTTATATCAGGAGACTATAATGTCCAAAACACCATTACCAGTAGATGAAAATGCGAACAGGAACTATTAAACTGTTCTTCAGTTAATTCCTTGTCCTTGTGGTTCACAGTTGCTCGTGTCTGTGTCTGTTACAATTGACCTTTGGTATATGCTAAATGAGCCATTCCTAAATAAGCTATTGGGGATTGCTTGACAAATATCATTGTATAGTATCTATGTAGCTTGTAAGTGCCTGAAATAAAGCTAAAAGACACGAAAAGATCTTAGAAGAATTTCAGGGAAAGACTCATTTTCTCTAAGTCCACTGATGTCATTTTGAGAAGCATTCAGAATTACTGACTGTACCCATTTGCTCTTTCAGGCAAGGGTGCTATTTCACCACCCCTCATAAACTTCTTAAACTGCCTAATTAGGTTTCCCAGGGCTAAAGTGGAAGGCTCCAGCATTTAACTGTTCTGATAGATACCAACTTTCTAAGACACTGCTGTAGTCAAGAGAATGGCATTTGCAACATTATAAAAAGAAAATGGGCAGAATACAACTTGATAAATCTCCCACAAGGTGAGCATAACCAGTTTGACAAAGGCCAAAGACTACTCACAAACAGCAATTTGCTGTCAGTGTCAGAGGGCACTGTACATGTCAGCAAAGGCTCCTCCTGGGTATACTATCAATATTTTAACCCATAACTTGCATAATGGGATAGAAAATACTCTGACAGTATGGGCAGTACGAGCAGTAGAGCACCACAAGCACTTCAGAAGTACAGGATCAGATTTCAAAGTTACCTTGATTATTTGGGAGATAATGCAAAATACAACAAGGTGAATTAAACAGTGAATGCAACATACTGTGTGGAGGAAAGGGAAGTCAAAGACATTAATACAAAATGGAGTAATGGACTGGGTATTGAAAACTGGTATTTTAGCAGGTAACCTAACACAAGCCAGCAACACAGGTGCAATAAAAAGGATGAAATACAGTTCAGGTAGCAGGAACACTACAAGTAGGGCATGAGGGTACCTATTTCACTCAGCTCAGCATTGAGACTTCTAAGAACTGCACCTGATTCGGGGCACCACAATTACAACTCAACCTATGAGTTGGAAAGTGTTCAGAGGAAAAGAATGGTAAGTCTAGAAAATGCCACCTACAAGACAACGAGTGAAAGAATTGGGTTTGACTCAACTAGAAGAGAGACAGTTGAGGACACATGAGCCTTTCAATGGGTAAAAGACTGTTTTGAAAGGATAGGTGTGTATCAGCTCTCCATATTTTCTATGAGTCTCTCAAAAGGAAATGATTCAGTTCACAGTAATGAGGATGTAGTCTATATTAGTCTAGTTAGGAAAAACTAGGAATGATAATAATCCTCAGTAGTAACATCCAGTTAGTAGTAACTAATACTCAGAAAATTGAGCTTTGACTCCCAAACAATACTAATATGGATCTAAATTTTATCTTTATTTAGGAGGAGCGATGCATTGGAACATGCTACTGCAAAAGCAGAATTCTCTTCACCACAAATTTTTACAACAAAACAAACTGCCAGAAAGAGTCCATATTATATGCATAATGTCCTGTCTCAAAACAGAGGAGAGACTGTCTTCAGGTGCCTTTAAGCTTTACTTCTAGGAATCTAATTCTTAACCTCAGTTTATATTCATGTCCACATCCTGATATTTATCTTTTATCCTAAAATAACCTCAGCAACTGACTCATACTCAATTCTGCACACTGTGTTTAACAAACCAAGAACTCAGGTTCAAATTATACTTTTAGCTATGTATTTAAAAAAACCCCAAACCTCTAAAACATGCATTCAGTGTTAGACATGGCATAGAAGTAAGCAACCTGCTCACGCCCAACATCTGTTATTCTTTTTAACGTAAGTACAAAACTGAAAAACTTACTAGTTAAGGTCAATTGAAATACGTAATTAATATAGGCATACAGAAATATCTCTACAGACTCTACAAAGTTGTTGTTTGTTCTTGGATATAGAAGAATTTTTCCCCTTTCCCATTTTCATCTTTTCATTCTTGTTATTAGTTAGAAAACTGAGCTTTGGGTGCCAAACAATGCTAATATGGATCTGAATTTTATTTTTACATATCTCTTAAGAGAGTTCTAGTTTCACATGTTTCAATTGAACTCTGAATGCTCTGGGAAGAAAAGTTTTAGTATTTTCCATTTGGCTATCTCCTCATTTACTCTTCAGTTAGCACTGACTAGGAATAACTTGTTAATGAGAACACAAAATAATTTTTATTCAAAATGCAGTGTCAGTTTAATTCTGAATTGATAAACTGAATGTAAAGCTATTTTCTGACAACAACATAGCTATCTTTTACACAAAACAAGCTGCTTCAATGTTCAACCATGCAAGGAGATGATACCCATGCAGGAATGGATAATGAAGGACTAGGGTCCTCACCTAACACAGCTGTCGGCACAAGTGGATCATTGGGCACTGTAGGAAAACAAAGCTCATGAAGAAATACATTACCCTCAATTTGTGTATTTTTAAGAATAAAAACAATATACTTGGGAGTATAACCAAGCAATAACTAAACCCCATTTATTTTGTTACAACAGGAAACCAGAATGAATACACAGTTCCAGAAAGCATCTTGAATAGAAGAGGAATGAAAGGCAGTGATTTTGGACTTCAGAAATGTAACGATAAAGGCAAAGAGATACTTACTGAAATGAATTAAAAAGACATTACATGCAATTTAGTTTTTGAAAGGTCTCCTCCTTCACTACTGTTCTTTTTCTTAACAATAAAGGTTCAGTTTCATAGAACCAACTCCTTTCCTTTTGAACACATCCTCTCACGTAATACTTGAATAGCTCATCTCAAAATAAAACTGTATTTCTCTACAGTCTTCCAGGTAATTTAAAGAAATTATATACATATTTACAGTTAATAGCTTTTTTTATGTGCAATGTCAAAGATATTGCTCTTAATAAGTATAGGAAAATCACAGATACACAGATGAAACCCATAGAATTTTATTGTTTGTTATCACAACTAGAACTATGTAGCAACAAATGTGCTGTTTCGGACAGAAATGATAGAATCCAGAATTTGGATTTGTTTCTATCTGGAACAAAATTTTAAAATATCAAAAGCTCTGTGACAAAATTCAACTCCAGTTCTCAAGCAATCTGCATAAATTTTTGTAGCATAGCAGGAGATTCTGGAAGCTTGGAAGGTTTTTTGCCTCAGCACAGATGATGATGATGAGGAGAACCAAGTCCTCCAATATCCAAAAAATCACATACCGAGGACGCTGGAAAACAGTGATGCCAAACTATTTGCCAACCAACTAGGACAGCTGTGGTGGCTGGGACTCATGGACTCTTGGCATCACATCAGTCCATCTGGAAGGCTGCCCAAGTGCCTGGCACTAATAGCCATGTAGGTTCTCGATACTTTGCCTAGGCTCTACCATAACTTAGTTCAAATCAAACTGCCTTTGCAAACCTCCCTCCACAAATTTCAATGCCAATAAGACACCAGACTTTGGAGAATTTTCAAACAGTTCCAGCCAAAACTGTGTATAAAAACTCACAGGCTGATACTAAACTTCCATTTATTATTCACTATGAGACACTTAAAATGTTAGCACTCTGCATTTTGGTAAGCTTCAATAAACTGTGCAATAAACTCTCCTCCAAAATCCATTTTCCTTAAAGCAATCAGGAAAGAACTTATTTCGCTCAAGCATGTTAAGCAGTATGGGAGGCAGGAGAAGGGAGATGGAGTGCCATTCCCAAAAGATGACAATTCAGAAGCAGCTCATGCTGCTCAGATCTGTTTAATACCAAGCCACAAGTCTATGTGGCTGTGAGATAAGGTTCCTGCCAGCTACATGGTAGAACTGTGTCCCTTCAGTAACTTACACACTAGTTTTGAGATATTCAGAGTCTGCCAGTGGAGTATCTTGCTTTTGTGCAAGGCACAGTGCAGACGTTGGGAGGCAGGCGTGCTGGACAGTGGTAGCTATAACCCAGACGCTTAACACTCAGAAACCCAAACTGCCAGACTTTGTCAAAAGCAGACAGTTGGCAAGTCTACAAAAAAGCAATAAAAATATAGAGCAAATTTGCAGATATATTAACAAGCTTGTTCCTAAACCTCACAAACAGCAATGAAAATTGTCAATGTTTCCTTCTGTTACAACGTCCTTACTGCCAAAAGAATGAAATTAATTTGGACCCTGTATTATTTGTTACAGACATGGTGTTACTCAGTAACATTTAACATGTTGGTATTAAATATCCTCATGAGGGAAAAATTAAATTTCAGATTTTAATTGAGATATTCTAGAAATGTAATATTTTCCCTAGAACAAATATCAATGCATTCTGAAAGTACAGGTAAATATTGAAATAACTGGCCACATACCAATCAGGATAATATATGAACATCCCTAGCAATGTTCCTAGAAACCCTGAAGCTTACAACAATTTTCCTTAAAAAGAAAAATTGTTTCCCGTGTTTCTATATTCACTCTACACTCCAAAGTATCTATCATTGCTGTACTTACATCTGGGGCTGAAGTTATGAGAGTCCATGAATGTGATTGAAAGGGGATCCTCTGCATGCAGAGTGCTCTGGTCAGCATAACTCCTATCCATCGCATTCACCATGTGTGTCATCTCCTGGCGGGTGGTCCCCATGGCATCCTTGCGCTTCTTTGCAAGTTTGCTGCCCAGCCAAAAAAAAAAACCCAAGCCACCTTAATATTTGATGAACATTAATATCTACAGTAATCATTATCTAGAATCCTGAGTGACTGAAAACTTTGGCTAATTTTCCTGCATATAACTTTTCCAGCATTAAATTGATAAAACTATGCATCCTGCTATGAAAGAGTTGTGATCGTGTGTTTTCTGTACACCCACAAATGCTGTAATGGAAGTACTAGCTTCTGCAGCTTGGTAATATTCTTTTTCCTGTGGAGTAATTACACTAATATAAACAAATTAGAGAATATAATTACATTTTAACTGAAATGATAAATAAGAAGCATCTGTGCATGCAGTTTTATCAACCATCTCCATTTAAATCTGTGTCTTGATTTTATAAATGGATAATTCATTCACTTGCTTGCCTTGTTAGGAAGAAGTCATTTAACCTTCTGAATTACTTTGTTAGTCAAAAAAACTATGAAATAACAAAAGAAACATAATTGTACAATATGGATTCATATTACCTTTTATGTTAAAAGTTGTTCGTCCCATTCAGTACCCAAGATACAACATGATACCACACTTCGTTCCTGACACTGAACTTTGGTTCTTTAATAAACAAGCACCCCTCTCCCGTCTCGCCCCTTTCATGCAGTTTCAGAATATCTTAGTTTTTGACATCAACAGTCTTACACTCTGAATATATCACAGTTAAACAGCAACATAATCTGTACTAACTAAATCCCTATTTAACAGCCAATGCCCTTAAAGTGCACACTTCAGAAATATCTCTCAATTTTTCACTTTTGATGAAGGACGAAGCACTGTCTCCAGAAGTCAGATGAAAGCAGACAATATATTTTAACTATCACTTAAAGCCTATTACTCTTAAAGCATATATCTCAAGTAGTAGGAAGTATGCAGAGTAGCATGAAGCACACCTTGGCTCTGCAGGAATCCGTGACATACATTAGGCTGTTCTGAAATCTCCCTGTTTTCATCTGAAGCTGTGATTGCAATGTAATAAATAGCCAACCCACTTATTTGCAGAAATCTGACACCACATTAGAGAGACACAATCATCACTGAAAATACTGAAGTTTGAAACTCTATGTTTAAAACACAGCTTAGCTTCACAAGCCTTTTCTGCATAAAATATCATCAAATATCCTATTAACTGTTTAGACAGTGTATATCTTGCATTTCTCTGACTAAAAGGACTGCTTGCTCTTCCTCTATTCTCTGATAACTTTTAATATTCTGTGCCACAGTAGACAGAGAGAATATTAGTGTAAATTATCCACCCATTTACTTGTTAAGTCCTGGGAACATCAACCAGAAAGGACCTATGCCACTCTCTAGGGCTGTCAGCACTTCATGTTTTTGCATATTTCGGAAAACGTTAGACCATTGTTTCTTAAGTTAATAGTCTTGGTTCATAATAAGGGATCACAAAGTAGGACATAGATAGACAAAGCACGCCTGAGAATAACAAAGATTCTTTCACCTATCACACTCATCTCCTTATTTTGTGTCCCCTCTCCTCCTCCTTTCTTTTCCCTATTTACGGATAGACTTGTTGGAAAACTGCTGCTTGCTACAAAAATCCCAAAGGTGGTCTCTAATCCTATCAATTTTTCATCAAAACCTTGTGATGTACATGAGGGTTCTCTGTGTATCAGCTGTTTGGTGAAAACTAAAAAACTAGTTACAGTTGGATGTGCCCCCTTAAATGCTTTATTTTACACACTTACTCCACACATTCCTATGTACTGAAGGAAAATTGGCTTAAATGATACTGTGGCGAAACAAATGAAGAACATCAGAACTTCCAAAAGTGAAATGGCTTGAGCTTTATAACCGGTTCTCAATACTATCAAAACTTACACAAAAATGGCATTTCTAGTTCAGACTGATTTTTAAATTTCAAAGCCTTTCAGATAGTCTCTACACTCTGAAGATTTCCTTGTTCTAGTGCCACCTCAGAAATGGAACAAAAAGACTATTACATCTCATCTCTCGACTATATTAAGCCCTTCTTTGAAGCATCACTTTGTAACAAAACTTGCTAGCTACACTAAATAAATCAACAGCTATTAAGGCTTTCAAGTTATTAGCTTATTACAGTAGCTACTTTGTAATTCTTATGCTATGCTTCAACTCCTAAAAAGGCCTATTCTGTTGTAGCACTGCAAACCAAAGCTGCTAGGAAATGGGAGGACAGCTTTATTGTTCAGCAGCTTCTGGCTCCCTTGGGGTTTTACTTCTTTTTCCTTTCCTTTTTTCCTTCCCTCACTTGGCTAAAGACATACGCAATCTATGCTTCCTGATAGTTAAGCAAATCGTTAGGTTATAGTACTTGAGGCTGACAGAAAGCATAAACGATTCTCATTATCTGCTGAAGGATCCAGTTGGGTGAACCTGCGCAGGTAGGTGTTTCACTGGGAGCTGGAGGGGAAAAGTGCTCTATCATAGGATGAAACTGTGCAGTTAATTATCTGGAGCTGAAGCAATTGTTATTTAACAAGAAAATTATTATTTGTCACAATATACCGGAGAATGACAGTTAGCTAAGCCAGCTTACTTTTTTTTATTTTTAAGTTTGTTTAAAGAAGTCAACTAATCTGCTTAAAAATGTGGAAGAGCATCATTATCAGACACCACCGGTTCATCAAAGCACTTGAGTGCATTCTCAGATCCCCTCTGAAGTCAAGGGCTTTATTGATTTATTTAAAATTAAGAATGTGTGTAACTGCTTCGCTCAATCACAGCCAAAACTGCTTCAGTCCTCACAAAACCTCATTTGGTCAACACATATTAAAAAAGCCAATTTTGCTTCAATGAAACAAAACTTTATGCAAGCCAATGTCAAAAAGTAAGATCCATACTTTAAAGTGCGTATGCAAAGCACCTTACAAGCAACAGATGCAGACCACTTCACAAAAAATACTTCTGTAAATCAAAAAAAGGTTGGTACCGCAGCGGCAGATGTGTTGTTCTGCCATTGGTAAGGCACAGACCTATTTATAAAGGGTCGGCATCTACCTACGATCTGCATAGGAAAAGTGGTGCACAGGATCACTCCTGAACTGATATTCTATGAAAGAACAGTCTGTGATTTACAAGCATAGCTCTCTAGCTAGGAAATGGGAAAAGAGTATTTTTCCTTAGTGTGATGTGTCATTGTGAATCATAATGCAAATTAAAATTATGATTGCAATAAACTGAAATGATAGTTATGGGAAAAACTGTAGCAAAAAGCAAAAGTCTCAATATACAGTTAGAAATACAATATCCCTTTAAAAAAAAACAAAACAGGGTAAGAATAACAGGAACAAAGATACAAGCAATTTTTCAAGCCTGAGAATAAAGAAAGGTAACTATAAATAAAACTTTAGGAAAATTATAGAGATTGTTTTTCTTTTTTAAAAAGGGATACTGCATCTTTAAAACATGTAAAATAGTAAGTCACCCGTATTCTACTTACAGATAGTAGGAGTAAGAATAGTAGCTCCTCCTGGCAAGCAAATCACAGACAGTGGAAAAAGAGAAGCAATGGTGAATGAAAAGCGTGACTCTGTCACATTCAATAAAGCAGAGAAATGTGCGTTTAAAAAAAAAAATTGAAAAATTCATGTTTCTTTGGTTAGCATTTCAACTTGCTCATGCATAAACTAGCCTTACTTTGCCATGCAATTAGAAAAAAATAAACTAGCATATAAAAATGACTTGTTTTTTAGAAAGATCACTTGAGAAAATTACATGCTGAGACTTCATTTATTGCCAAAAAATTTGAAAATTAAATGGACTGTGTATTTTCAACATGCAGTTCAGCATAATATAATGATTACCACCTAGATGTCATGACAAATGAACAGCTGTGTACAAATCTTGTGCAGTAAATATGCTTTTTATTTTTCAGTTACAAAAACTAGAGATTGCATTAATAAATACACTTAATCAGAAAACAGATTTAATGTCATTCACTTTAACATCTTTATTGGTACACAGATGTATACATATGTTTGTATGCATACCATATGTAGCTATATGAGTACACACATTTTAAAGAATGCACGTCACACAACAGGTATGTGTGTACTGACATATATACCACACATTTCCTGAATGCAAACATATGTTTTCTATTTTAAAATCATACAATTGGAAATGCTGATGTAGTCATGCTAAGCATTAAAAATATGGAAGGTAAACAAATGGAAGGAAATGAAGGACATTTGGAAATAGTCCAACAATGACTTGGAAAATAAAAATAGCATTGCTTATAAAGATGCAGTATCCCTTTTCTTAGTTGGCTTGATTACTCCAGTAAAACTCTGAAGAGTTGTTAAGGGCTTCGTTCGGGAAAACTTCAAACCAATTTGTACAAAATGATCAGGCAAAGCTTAACACATCTCAAGCTCGGGAATAAAACTGCTTAGTACTCTGTTTTTCAATAAAATGTAATGCTGCATTTAATCAGATTGAGATAGAGATGGCTGTGCATATGACTTAATATACCAATGAAAATGCAGAAACCATTGTTTCATTGACTTTTTGTGTAATAAGCTGTGGTCAATTCAGGTGCCAAAAGGGATACTACATAATGGATCACTGAATATATACACTACAGATGAGGCAAATGGATCGGTTTTCAGTCCCACCACAACTAAGTGAAGTGTTTTTATGTACGTGTGAATGTGTCAGGGTTTTTACAGCTGTTTCTGGCTTCATGATATGAATTCCCCTGATTCACTAGATGGACTGAATTAACTCTGGTATACAAAAGTTTTCTATGCTTTTTTTAAAAAGAGTCCTTGACTAAAACTGGTATTAAAAATACCTGTCCACTTTCTCTAAGGGATGGGGACAGGGGCAGGGCAGGGCAGGAATAGCACTCCTATGACATATATGATAGACAACCAAATAAACTATCATAAAGAAAAATTGCCAAACAATAAAAATTCATTAAACAGGTTAATTTCTCACTTATGTTGAATACATAATAGTACAAGAGTTTAAAAATGCTATGTGCTTTAGAATGATGATCAAGTATCATTCCTAAGGGGGTACTGCCTTTACAGGTTCAGAGGAGGGAAGGGGGGAAAAAGGGAAATTTAAAATATCACTTCATTAACAGGATTAACTTACTTTCATCAAACAATTCAACAGTGAAAGTATGAGTCTAAAAAGACTCTGAATGCAAGATATAAAAAGGATAGGGAAAATGAACGCATTGAATTTTAACCCTTTTTTTTTTTGTTACCTGAAGAACTAGTCAATCCCATCTGGAAGTGGGATTCTATTTATATAATTATATCACATTATACAGTGGTAGACAGTCTCTCTCTCTCTCACACACACACACACAGACACACACACAAAGTCTTCTATTGAGCATAAGGGGACCACTGCAACATGCGCTGAGAAGCTGATACTTCCCAGCACATACCTTGCAATAAAACTATAAAACAGAGAATCCTTCCTTTTTGTTTGTTTGTTTTTTGGAAGAGGTGAAAATAAAGAAACTGGCTAACTATATGTCTCTTTTGCATATGGTGAGTTGGACCTTTTGCATATGTGTTAATTCTCAACCACAAAGGTAAACAACAGAGGAAAGTAAAAGCACTTTTGGGAAAAATCACATATGTAGCTAACTAACACAGAACACTATAAGCATACCTAATGTTTCTAATGCAGACGTTTCTTCTCCAAGTTATATATCTCCAGGGATAATTGTAAAGAGGCAATAAATTAAAAAGATCTAATGCAAACCAGTAATTACAACATATAGAATGATTTTAGGCACAATTTAATTTTTTTTCTTAATATTAAAAAATAATAGCAAGCTGTATTTCAGAGGAACATTTGCAACATTTACAGATACACTTTCATTAAAACTTCTGCAAAGGGCAAGGGAATGCAATGCACACACCACTGGAAGACAAAGGTCTCGTTCTACCCAAGATAAATCAGCTTGTGCCCTGTGAAGAGGACCCACCAGGGAAGGGAAGGGTGCACAGAAAGAGAGGAATTGCTTTCGATGCTAAAACTACGGATTTATAGAGCCATATTATGAGCTTTTATGCCAGGTTAAAAGAGCTGCAACTACTGGGAAGTTAAGACTTTTAAAAACTGACGGAGCAAGAGGGTAGCACAATTTACTACAAGGAGGAGCATTTGGATGCAGAGTTAGCATTGTACAATACCAGAAGATGGCGATATTGCTTACTGTCTAAGAAAGCGGTAAAAAATTAAAATTCTTTTAAATTAATACACAATTTAATGCACTAAGGACTGGATAGATAATTTTACAGTGATGCGGTATGACTTTTAAGAAAAAACTCCAGGTTTACAAGAAAATAAACAGAGGTATAAAATTACATTATTTTGCTAGTTGGATAACATACAAATAACTCATTAGATCTGCATATAGAAAATCAAATTCATTAGGTGATTACAACATGAAAAGTGCAATAAGTTATTCTTTTTTTCTGCGCTTTAAAACAATGCTCTATGAATTCTAATTCCACACACTTTACTATTCTGTACATTCCACCAACTGCAACTTAAAGCTACTTTGAGATAAGTATGAGAAAATGTATAGCTATTTGATCCCAAATATAAAGTAATCCTCTCTTTAAATTCACCACAAGAATTCCAGCAAAACCAGCAAGAAACACATAAAACTCATCCAAAACCTGATGTGAGCTACTGGTCCTGTAATCTATTTTTTTTAAAGACCCATTAAAAAATACACAGTTATTGTTTGATATGGAGAAAAATTAAGAGGGATTAGGACAGACCATTTTCTTACCTTTTTTTGACGATCAATATGACAACAAGGAGAAGCAGGATGAATACCAGAATTCCAGCACTTATTCCTGCTATTTTCACCACTCGATCTGTCTGTTTAGCTGGATCTGGAATCACCTCAGGTTCTTCTGTTGCTGCTGCTAAACGAATCAGAAAAGAAGCTGCTTAAATGTGTAAGCACTAAAGACAAGAAAATCATCATTGGCGATAATTGCCATGTATATGTGTGTTTGAATATGGCAGCAAGAATGTAAATACATGCATCATGTGCTTATATATCTACACATATATATATAGACACACTATAAATTTCAATCCATATACCATACATTAGCAACACCAAGTATATGACTGTATACATGTGTATACTGGTGTGCATATATATATATATATAAAAATATATAATACATATATTAAACAGTTCATATATATAGAAATGTATATGCATCTGGATTTCCAAACAAGTTATTGTATTATAAAGCAGAAGACAAAGCAGAGACAATCTATCAAGTAAATAACCATTAAGTCCTTTAATGTTAATTCTTTAGATATTAAATACGGAATATTTAACATTGACAGGTGAGATTATGTAACTCACAAACAGTAAATTAAACTCTCTTTACCAAGCTGCAACCAGCACTCTAAACTCTAGTCTTTCTCCCTCTCACTCATTTTCAGTTCAGCTCTGTATATGAAGTCACCTTACAGCATCTGGCCCGAGATCTGCATTCTACTGGGAATTTTGACTCTCCAAATAAGGTCATCCACAGAGTCAAGCCTAAAGTCAGCAGTAGTTTTATTTCTGTTTATAGGCCCTTAAAATAAAATCGCTGTTCTACACAGAAATGAAACCACTCTATAACACAGCTGAGTGGGCTGAAGCCACAGGCTACAGCAGCAGAGAGGAATATGTATGAAAGCACACAGCCATTCAGCCTGCACCTCTTTGCATCACAGCCTGGCGTACAAAGGATCAGGAACACTGGGTTTTCCAGCCTGGCAAAAGCATCAAAAAATATAAATAGGTTTCAGCCAGGAGTAAAATCTCATGAGGTGTTTGATTGTAAAATAGGAAACTGCTCTTCAGTTCTCTAGCTCTTACTTTCTAAGGCTGTGGCTCTTTGTCTTTCCCCTGCTCCCAGGGAGGGGTGGGTACTTGTGCTTGCTGTCTCTCTCACCCTGCTTTCAGTCTCCACCCTGCATGCAGCAGATGCTCCTTAACCTCTCCCTGCTCACAGAAGCTGCACGTGGAGCAGTTACAAGCTGTTGGGATCATCATACCTATGTCATTACACAGAAAATGTCCTTTACGCTGCAACTAGGATGCTTCTCAATACCACCAAAACAAGCAGAATGAAAAATGAGAAGTCACACCAGGGAAAGACTACCACTGCCCCAAAAATGTGCTCTGTGGGCCTTTCAGAAAGCCAGTGTAGTCAGCACCAGGGATAATTGGTATCTAATACTTTCTGGTTTTAACCATGTTACTCAGACCATTTCTATTTGGGTTCCATATGCAGGAACCCATATTATCTTTTGAGGGAAGGATCAGGCTGATGTTTAAAATTACTTTTTTTTACTTATTTCTGTAACGTTCATCTCAGCAGTATCTGAACCACTTACTAACAACTTACCTTCAGAACAACCTTCTGAGTTAGGAACATGCTCTCTTCCAGGCGCCCATGCTAGAGTTAGGCAGACAGTGAGAGATCTGGCAGTACTTTAATCATAAAACTTAATAGTCATCATAAGACTTCATCATCATAATCACCTCTCTCCCCTACAGCTTGAACTCTGCTGAGAAATACTAAATGCCTCCTCCTTTGCGTAAACACATACCTGCATGCACACTTGCAGACATAACCTGCACGGACTCAATACTATATATTTTGTTTGTATTATGGGTGTTGTTGAGGTGTCTAGTAGTAAGAGTCAAGATCAGTTAAGTGGTGTGTGTATGTAGCTGTGTACACACAACACACACACAAGCTAGAATTAATGCCAGATACACATATGATGCTGTCTCACAGAGGAAATGAGGGGGATGACTTCTGAGGTGAAATTGGAAGGTGTTTGAGATTCTCAATGCTCAATAACAATCAACTCCCAGTCTACTATTATCTGAGCTGGATGTGATAAACACGAATGAACATTTGATAAGCAGTAGAGCCAAAAGGTCAATCAGTGGAGTCAAGAGACCAATCAAAGCTAGAACATAAATGGCTTTATATGTCAACAGGAAAAAACCCTCATATTTGCTGTATGGAGTACTGAGAAAAAGCAAGGACGTGGGAAGGGGTAGAGAGGTGAGCATGCAGAGGCAGGGTAGTCACTGTGTCTGGAATCATCATGAGTCCAAGGTCAGCACAGTTGGGTAGCTTTGACCTAGCAAAGGTAAGAACTACTCAAGCTGCAAAATAACTATGGCCTAAACAAGAGATTTAGTTATGTGGTTGGGCATTTAAGGCCAGGTCTTTGAGAGATTTCAAAATACAAATCCGAAGGATTGGATGTGACCTGAAGACACACTTCAAAAGTTGAAGGCTCAGAAATACATTCAAAAGTACAGACTTTGAGCCTTGATCAGGACAGGACAGTGGTATTTTCACAAGAGTATTAGTGAGACTTGAGAGAGTAGAGGGGAAAGAGACACCTGTCTCACACTTCCCTGGAGAAAGATACAATCCTTATTGCTTGATAGAGCAAGCTGTAATATAGGTGCTTCTAAGAGTCATGTTTAAAATTGCTGCTCGGCCACTCACAATGTAATTTCATTTAGAAAAGTTACCTTAGAGAATCAGCTACACACTTCTCAGAGAATCTGAAAAAAAGGTTATGGAGGGAGTTTACTTATTCACCTAACTTAAGAAGCTGTTCAAAATGCAACTATCTAATCAATTTTTTAGAACAACAGTGGAAAGCCAGGAGGATATCAACTGCTTGTTCATTTATTCTGTTTTCCTTACACTAAGAGGTTTGAAGTAAGAGACAGTAACTCATTCCATGAGCTTTAATGCTGTTTATGAGATAAAGCTGGTGTCCACTGGAAATGTTCCACAGAGTCTTAAATTAATGGAGAAAAACTATATTGAACAGTCATAGACTAAGCAAGCGTATAATCAGTGGTTGAGAATTCTACATGCACAATGCTAAAATCTATGGGCAAAATGGTACCCTTTTCCCCAGTATGAACAGAAAAATAGCTTTTGATTTAAATGAGTTCAGGATTATTATATGTATATGTCTCCAGCAACAGATAATAGATGCATTCTCTAGACTAAATGTTGCATTTGGGGACTATATGAAAGCAATTATAGATATAAATCACACTGCAATCTATTATTCATGTGTATGTGGTTTGTATGCAATGAAGTATATTATTTTCAGGAAGCCATTGAATGTAGCACAGAATCATTTAATGAAACGTATGAATTTGAAAATATTTCATATTACTTGTGTTTTAATTTTGATAGTTCAAACTGTATTGTAATAAGCATGTGTGATCTTACACATACACAACCAAAGAATAAAAACATAGAAACCTTGTGCCTGTGTATTAAACTTACGTGTGTAAGTCAGTGTCTCCTGGTTGCTAATTGCACAAGGTCTAAATACAGCAGCATGAGAAATTCTGAGAATTGCTCTGAGAATTTGCTCTCTCTATCCACTGGACTACAAAACGGACAGGATTTTTCTTTCTCTGAAGTGGCTCTTCTATAGGCTAAACGGCTGGTTTTGCCAAACATAACAACTCAAGTAACCAAGGCTTCACCAAATCTTGCCTAACCAACCTAGTGGCCTTCTATGAGGGAGTGACCACATTAGTAGACAAGGGAAGCGTTACTCATGTCACCTATCTGGACTGCTGAAAGCCTTTGACATGGTCCCCCACAACATTTTCTCTCTAAATTGGAGAGATATAGTAGTTAAAAATCGATTTATTTCAATAACTGGAGATAACTACTGTATATTCTAAACAAGGTAAAAGTGGTTTAAAATTATTTAAGTTACAAAAACACTTGCATTACTAATTCCTAACATTCCTTCTTAGTAATCTAGCCCTGCAATCCTTATATATCGAACAGCAGACTGTATTAAAAGGTAATTTAACAATATGAAAAAGAACCTTGTGTGGTAACAGAATGATAATCATACAAAATTAGACTCTTTATTGGTTAGTAATTCCTTTGTCTGGCCTTGCGCTAACAGACCTTCAATTAAGTGTTAATTTTTACAATATCCTTGCATATTACTATATTTTTCATTTGACCCTGTAAGTCTAAGAAGAGATAATCCTACAGTTTTCGACCAGTGCAAAGTCGTTTTGCATAAAATTTGCAAGATGAGCTTCTGATCTGAAACAAGGAGTTAACTACATTTCCCCCTCTCCTGTAAAAATAGCTGCCTACACAGATTTATTAGCTAGACTAGGAGGAGAACACTGGATTTAGCAACTTATTCACTTGCCTTTCTTCTGAACTAATGAACACTAACAGCAATCATATTCCACAGTCATGTTCAAAAAGTTCATAAAATGACTCGATCCAGTGATTCTGGCTCTGGACATTGCCCACAGTAGCGAACATATGAGAAGTAGTTTTCCTTGTTTTCACAGATGCTAAAGGAAAATATTTAATCAGTTGACTTCCATGATCAATGACATGAAGTTCAACTGTGAACAGCACTAAATTAGACTAGGATTGCTAACACTCTCAGGGACAGTAAAATTCTAAACAGTTGGTGCGGTAAAGTCCATCTTATTCTCATAACTTGCTGATGTACCCTAATTCCTCTAATTTTTCAATAATGTTTTTATTCAAATACACCTAAAAATCCAACACTCACTTCTAGAATTGAGTGTTTGCCTAATATTCATACTTAATTCTTGAAGTATACTGTGGTATAAGGAATCTAGTCACGGCATATATTGCTTTCCTATCTTCTCCATCCTTCTGTGGCTCAGAATTTACACACAGCCTTGCAAAATTGTCAGAGAATTTATGAGACTCAGCAGAAAATCTATTCACCTATACCTTCCTAAGGAGATGGTGTTGGAATCAAGATAATGATATTCTACTTGCTCATCCAAACAAAATTATTCAAGTAGAAAATTCTGGTAGGATTTCACAGGGCTGTTTGTATGGTACCACTTAGAGAGAACAGA